TAGTCTACAAGAATCAGCAAAGAAAAAACTTTAACTCTCAGTGCAGGGTTCAGCCCAAAATCGGGGTTTGGCTCCCGGACTATGGCGTCCGTTTCCTCTGTAAACATAACAAAATCCAGACCCTTAATTACAACTATGCGATGTACTGTACAGAAAAAGCGGTATATTTTTAACTTAATAATATTTAGAAACTTAAATAATATACTTATCTGTCGGTGATAAGCGGAGTAATCGATTTGCCAATGGACCGTCTCTGTATTTCTTCACGGATTCTTCAAAGTAAGAAAAATAGACTTGCACATGCACACGTAGTTAATCTAGTAATCAGTAGGCTAGTATCTCTAGTTATCGAGCCAGCACTCGGTCATATATAACGTTATACAACTGCAACTAATAATAGCCACAACAGAGTAATATGTTGGTGATATCAGGAGTGAATAATAATAGTCTATTATTATTATTATTATTAATATTTATAATTATAGTATATTATTATTATTATTTATAATTATAGTATATTATTATTATTATTTATAATTAAAGTCTATTATTATTTCCGCATGGTGATATGTTGCAAACACAGTCTGGTAAAGGTGAGCAGGAGAAACAGCAAATAAGACACAGGCACTTGAAACGTTTCGATAGTAAAATGATGGTAAATAAACACGAAATGTATTTTAAATGCGTTTAAATGCTCCTCTGCATCATACAAGTACACACGCTACTGTGCACATACAGCAAGAATAAAGAAGATTGCTAAGTTTGATTCTCTCTATTCTTGTTGTTTGTGCACAGCGGCATGCGTGCGGTGTACTTGCGTGTTGCAGAGGAGCATTTGAACGGCACTTACAGAAAATTATCGGCAACAATAGGCAAAATAGAGTAGAGAAACATAAAGACTTTGGTAGTAAATACATTTCGTAGTTATTTACCATTATTTTACTATTGAAACATTCCAAGTGTCTGTGGAAGGAGAGGTAGAAGCTGACAGACATAAAGAAGCAAGGGGAAGAGATACGGTGCGCTTGCGAGAGAAAGAAAGAAAGGAAACAGAGAGAGAGAGGGAGAGAGAGAGAGCGAGAAAGAGAGGAAGCGAATGAGAGATAGAGACATGGACAGATGTGAAGAAAGCAAGAGAGACAGACAGGCGGACAAAGCGCGACATAGAGATCGCAAGAGAAAACAAGAAAGAGCGAGTGTCTGTGCGTGGATGCACGCGCGCGCGTGTATGTTATGAAGTGTATTGTGGAGATTTCAGGGGCGGGCGTAAGCTAGACTATCATTTTGGGTTGTGGAGCGTAAGACTATGCTAACCAATTTCACAACACCATGGCACAGACTCTCGTGCGCTGTTAACCATCTACCTTTTACTGTTCAATTAATCATACTTTAGTGGATCCATGTGTTTTATGCAGAATTATAAAATATTCTACTATTATAGCACTCTTGTTACAGTATGTCC